ATCGGGAGGAGAAGCGGGGGAGAACTGGCTGCCCGGGAGGGGGTTGGGGGAAGTGGGGCTGGCCAGAGGCGCAGCAAGGGGAGCAGGGGGAGTAATGAATCGGCCTGCAGGGAGTGGGACTGACCCGACCCCGTTCCCCTCTCCCCCTCCACCCACAAAGCATGAGTTAGTCTGGCACAGGGATTCTACTGTCGTTTCCCCCCCCCCACGCACACACACAAACCCCTCGAGTAGTTGTGAACTATCTGGCTGGTAGACACACTAATGCAGCCTGAGCACATTTACCAGCCAGGCAGTTTGAAACTACAAATTGATACATCTAGTAATAATACACCTAACCTAATGAGAAAATACCAGACATGTTATATGTCTGGTATTTTCTTCGTTTGTTTTTCACGTGTTTATATTTTTGGGCTGCAAAAAGCAGAACTGAAAAAAAAGGGTTCCAATTAAAGTAAAAAGTTTGGGAAACCCTGGTCTAACCAGCTTTCTGTCTGTCTTACAGCCCATTTATCCAATCCATATTCCTTAACTTGCTGGCAAGAATATTGTAGGTGACCATATCAAAAGCTTTGCTAAAGCTGGCACTGGGAAATTTGGGAGGACCAGAAACAACTTATTTGAATATTCATAATTTGATTAATAAATATGCAAATATGCAAATGAGCATTACTGGTCCTCCAAAAGTTCGTGAATGGATTTACTGGTCCCTGTGTCAAAAAGTTTGGGAACCCCTGTCCTACAGGTTTTTGTGTATTGCCATTCCTGATATCTGATTTGTGTCTGTTTATTCTTTTACGTAGGGACTGTCCAGTTTGGCAGGTGTATATGGCAGAGGGGCATTGCTGGCATGATTGCATATATTATATTGGTAGATGTGTGGGTGAATGAGCCCGTAATGGTGTGGCTGATGTGGTTAGGTCCTGTGATGGTGGTGTTGGTGTAGATATATGGGCAGATTTGGCACCGAAGTTTATTGCAGGGATTGGTTCCATAGTGGGAGTTACTGTGGTTTTGTGTTACTGTGGTGTGGTGTACTGTTGCTGGTTAGAATTTGCTTCAGGATGGCGGGATGTGGGCGAGAACTGGCCTATTTCCCAAGGTCTGTGAGAATGGGGATCATCGTCCAGGATGGGTTGTAGATCGCTGATGATGCATTGGAGAGGTTTTAGCTGGGGACTGTAGGTGATGGCCAGTGGTGATCTGTTGTTTTCTTTGTTGGGCCTGTCTCGTAGCAGGAGGCTTCTGGGTGTATGTCTGGCTCTGTTGATCTGTTTCCTCACTTCCTCAGGTGGGTATTGTAGTTTCAAGAATGCTTGGTGTAGATCTTGTAGGTGTTTGTCTCTGTCTGAGGGGTTGGAGCAAATGCGATTGTACCTTAGTGATTGGCTGTAAACGATGGATTGTGTGGTGTGTCTGGGATGGAAGCTGGAGGCATGTAGGTAGGCATAGCAATCCGTAGGTTTTTGGTATAGGGTGGTGTTTAGGTGACCATCACTTATTTGCACTGTAGTGTCCAGGAAGTGGATCTCTTGTGTAGACTGGTCCACGCTGAGGTTGATGATGGGGTGGAAATTGTTGAAATCACGGTGAAATTCTTCCAGAGCCTCCTTTTTGTGGGTGCAGATGATGAAGATGTCATCAATGTAGCGTAAGTAGAGGAGGGGCGCTAGTGGACAAGAGCTGGTCAGCCATAAAAACGTTGGCATATTGTTTGCCATGTGTGTGCATCAAAAATCAAATATACTTTTTATTAAACCTGTATTGTTAACTCTATGGGGGAGAGGTGACATCTTGAAGAAAGGATTTATGAGTAAATATGGATCATTTGATGTAATTTGATAGCATTAAAAGTTTGGAGTTCTTAATTTACATTATGGAAATAAAACTACTTTTCATAGTTAAATCTGTGAGTAGCCGTCTGCTGTTAGCTTGAGTATGAGAAATACTCAGTTATTAACTTACTACTAATTTTTTATTTCTATCCTTCTCCACAAGGAAAATACTTTGCTTGGGGACTAATTAGACAAAGTGCATTTTATTTATGAAATCTGGAAAAATCCAAAAATCTCATTTTTGCAAACTTCTTTTTTTTTGTAAGTAGAACATTCTGTCTAAAAAATGACTTGACACAAACTTCAGCTTTGGGTTATTCTGTCTTCAGGGATCAATATTAAAATTAATCTTTCCAAAAAGTTGTTAATTCTTTCATTTTAAATTATCTCAGTCACTTTAAGTGCCTTTCTTACTATCGTAGATAAACTAATCTGTACTAACACAATGAATACATATGTAAATAAATTCAAATTGTTTGCTGTGGAAAGCGCTAATATTAAGAACTTCAACAAACTCACTTAACCTTTACTATATGACAGACAGCAGAGATGTGAATATAAAATTGAAATTACATAATGTGAGAAAGTTAATAGATCTTGTAGACTAGATATTAACTAGTTTTCCTTGGCTGTATTGTTGATTATTGGAAAGAAAATGGGATTGGTAATGTTTTAAAAATGTGACTAATACATTTTTTTTCTCCTGTATGAAGGCTCTGGAGAAAAACCAGCAATGGCTGTTATATGACCAGCAGCGTGAGACATATGTCAGGGGACTGTTGGCAAGGATCTTTGAACTTGAGCAGCAGTTAGAAACAGTTAACCAACAGCAGGCAAAAGAGGCCACTGCAGAAGGTATTGATTTAAACTTTCCTTCAGAAGAGGACAAAATGAGTTCTATTATGTTTGCACTGTTGCTGTACCAGTGTTGCGTGCCAGGATATATGAGAGACAGTGTGGGTGAAGTAATATTTTTATTGGATCTCCTGTTGGTGAAAGAGGATTTGATTCAAGCACCACAGAGCTCTTCATAGCAAACTGGAAGAAGAGCTTTCTGGTGCTTGAAAGCTTGTCTTTCACCAAAAGAATGGGGCCAATAAAAGATTTTACTTCTCCTACCTTGTCTCTTGAGTTATATTATGACATTTGATAGAATAAGTCAGAGAACTGAAACAAAATAAAATCCCTAATTTAATGATAGAATGTAAGGCTTTCTTAATCATTTCAGTTCCTTCATGCTGAAAGATGAGGAAAAGGATTGTGCTTACCAGATTTACAAGAGTTCATTGCTATCACACTCAAAACTGAATCATCTGAATTTCTTGCTATTCTTCAATGTGTGCTAAGAAAACACTTTTTATTGCTAAGAGTAAACTTGCCATTAAATGTCAGCAATCAGACTTCTAGCTGGACTTGATCTTGACATTAACTTGGCATCTTTTTTGTTTGCATTATAGTGTTCCTTTAAGCAAACGTCATTATGCCACCAGCTCTGCACGTTACACTCCCAACCAGTATTGTGAATGCATTGAAGAGTCATTGCTTAGGTGTGGATTTAATTTTCTAAAATACACATTGTAAAAGATGACTTGCAGGAAGCGTTTTCAAAATTAAGGACTAAACATTTTTACAGCACAAAAAAATGTGTGTTGACCACCCCCTATTCACTGGTAGTTGCATGATCTGGAACTCTAAAAATCTAGGGTGGACTATACCTCAAACATTGGCTGAAACTTAGGCCTGTGTCCATGTAGCAGATACGGTGGTTAGAGACACTGAAACATATGCCACCTCTGCTAGCAACCCAGTCAGGCACTTTTGAGCAAACAAAGAAAACACTAAAAATATGAATCCAGTTTAACTGTTGTACTGCTTTCTCTAACTGTGGGCAGCTTAAAACAAAGGAGGTGTGATGTCAACTTTCCTTTATTTTTTCCGCCAGTTAAGCTTCCTAAGATGTTGACTCTAAAGCCTTTTGACATTTAGAAAGTTACTGCTATTTCATTTGTTTTTGTGATTGGAATGAGGAAGAATTTGGGTAAAATCCATGGGCCTGGGAGATGGGAAGAACTGGAGAGGAGAAAGGCATGAAGACTCAAAGAGAGGGTAGGAAAAGAAATAAAGAAAGAAAATAATAATTCTGATCCCTGAAGGGAGTGCTAAAGTATTGAATCAAGGATGCCATGCTTGACCTATTGACCTTTGTGCAAACAAACATCCTGTTGATATCACTTAGAAATCTACTGTGATTGTGTGTCTTAAACAAGCTCCAAACCCCACACCGTCTCATGAAACAAAGTCCATCCCTCCCCAGAGAACAAATGTGATATCCCTGTCATTTTTCCTACCCATGTTCCTGTAATTGGTTAAGCTACTCCTTCCTATAACTTCAATTCGATATCCCAAGGTACACACTGTGCCTTGATGAGAGCTTCACTGAGTACACTTGTGTTTTGAGAACTACTATCTCAGGATGCTGTCTTGGCATGGACTGGTATAAATGTGGCGATCCTTTGCTGAAAGCAGCACTTGTCTTAGTATCTATAACTGAATATTGGGAGTTGTACACTTGCAGTGCTACAGCTCTTAAAGAAGACAAGTACACCTGTTTGGGGGAAAGAAAAGTAGAGTAAGAGTAGATCTCATTCAGTCTGACTTACATTATCAACATGTCTGTCTTACATAAAGCAGACTATAGCAGGTTACCTCTCTGTGGCAGGAAAACATGTATAAAAGTGCAGCAAGTAAACATAAACTGACTATGGTTTGAGGAACTGCCTAGGGTATTTCCAACCAGATTGGCCACAGAAACTAATAGTGTAGCCATCAGAGAGCATGTCCAAAAATCCTGTTCCTCACCAAGAGGAGGCCCTTGTTACTAAGGGTGCTAGAGCTCTACCTGACTGAAAAAGTGATATTGAATGGGAGGAAATATGTTGTCAAGATTTGGGTGCACAATCACCTGAAGAGATCAGCTCTCAAACATATTGGAGAGGGAAATAAAAAAAAGTCAAGAAATTATATTCTACATGTGACATAACTATAAAAACTTCCAACACGAATAGCTTTTCTTACTGGTTTACTTATTGTCTTCAGGAATGGCTTTGTTGAGAAGCAGTAAAATTAGCTATCTTGCAGGAGGTGACCAAATACCTGATAAGCTAAAGGGTAAGAGGGATGTTAAAAGCACAGCTGATAGTTGACTGATCTCAGTTGCATAGCTGATCAGTTTGAGAGGTAAATAGTTGCTGATGCAAGAGAATGGAGCAGAGACAAGAATTGTGCAGCTTCCAATTTATCTCAAATTTGACATGAAACTACAAAAAATATTTGGAACCAAAGATCACTAGGATGTTCTGTATCTACTTTCTACATGCTGCATGTGCCATCTCTTCCTATTTATCAAATAACCAAGCAAAACTCAGAAATTGTTTGACTTATTCCTTTCAACTGTGCATTTCAAAGATGCCTTTTCCTTTGTTAAAAAAACAAAACCTTCTGGGCGTTAGCTTGCATGGGGGAGCTTTCGGAGTACTCCTTTGCTGTGGCACACAGTCCAAATTAAAGGGAGCACTGCAGAAGAGCGCCACATTAGCATTGCTTCAAACAGATGCTTTCATTGACTTTTAATATTAGAAAGCAGGGCCCTTTTGTCAAAGAGAGATTATGGACCTCCTATGCATTTGCACTCAGTTTATTTTCCTGGCATAAATGAAATGTGAAATTTAATTCTCATGATGAAATCATGACTTCTTCACATCAGTGGAATATTATTAGGGTCTGTCACTTACCTATACTGCTACATAACCTGGTTAATCCAAGAACAGATTTTCATTTTTAAAACTTGAATATTGATTCAGGTCTTTTAAATATTAAGCAGCAGTTCAGATACCATTAAATTATGACAATCTGTTCTAAAAAAACAGTACAGGCAGTCCCCGACTTACGCGGATCTGACTTATGTCGGATCCGCACTTACGAATGGGGCTTTCTCGCCCCGGAGCTCGCAGGCAGCGATCCGCCACCTCGACCTCTGGGGCGAGAAAAGCTGCTCCCGGGGGGCTGCTGGAGACGGTCCCCAGCAGACCAGAGACACCGGGAGCGAAGCTGCAGCCGTGGCGGGGTCCTGCGCCTCTGAGGCTTTGCCAGAGCAAAGCCTCAGAGGCGCGGCACCCCGCCGCCGCCTCCGCCTTTGCTCCCGGGGCCCCTG